TGGACTTCTTCCAGACTTAGTCATTTCAGTAGCCTCTGGTCCATCGCCTGCCTCTGGACCAATTCATCGCCTCTGGACTTCTTCCAGACTTAGTCATTTCAGTAGCCTCTGGTCCATCGCCTACCTCTGGACCATATCATCGCCTCTGGTCTTCCTCCAGACTTAGTCGTTTCAGCAGCATCTTCAGATTTTCCATACGTGGCCCCGATTGCTTCGATAAAACTTTTAGAATAATTAGGATCAATTTTGGTCCTAATAATCAGTAAATTATATTTTATTTGAGATTTTATAAAATTGGTAATTTGGGGTTTGCTCAAGCGAGATGTTACACTGTCTCTCTATCTAAGATAAAGACTTCCACTGTAACAAGTGAAGAGCACAATACTTCTTAACCTATTTCTTGTAGTAAGTATTTTCTTCTTGCTATCTATAATTTGTGTGTATCTTTGATTGTTTAGATAAATTCTATATCTTATCTTTTCCGCAAACTATGTGTAAAAATCTGTATTTATCTTCTTTATCAATATAGGTTTTTTTTTTTAAGTGAAAGATGTTGTGTTTGTATTCATCCATTCCTTCTACAAACTGTTACCTATAAACTATTATAGATCTGACTGGGACCAACACATTAATCTTGGTGATCTCGGATACAATAATATTTGAGCTAACATTTTTCTTGTGCGTTCTACTTAGCGATTCTCATAGATTGTTTAGATTAGGTTTTACCTTATCTTATTTCGCAACAATCTGTAAATTTTGTATTGATTTTATCATATCAATAAACGAATTTAGAAAAGTTAAATTTGTATGTTTGTATTTAACATTTCCCCTTCTACAAACTGTTTGTAGAACCCTTTTGGGACCAACAAATGGTAACAGAACAACTTTATCTTTTCTTTCTTAAAAATCTTTCTCTTGCTATTTTTCAAAAATGGCTTTGCAAAATACAAACATCAACTATCATGACTATGACCTCTTGCCAAACCTCTTAGCTTTAGCAGGGACAAGTTTAGTCTCTAGAAAAATCTAATACATTTGTTTTTAAAAGGTGCAGATCTTAAGATCCCATATTATCTTTGCAAGTGAGTGCAGATCTAAGAAAGCTATGAAGCCATATTCTTCCTCATCTTCCTTCAAAATAGAAGATGACAAGTATTTGAAGCTGAAAGAGAAGTACAAGAGATGAAGAACTACCAGCGTAAGGGCAAGGGTCTTATCGTTGAAGAACGCGACTGGGCGGATTTATCTAATGAATCCTCCTCAGATGAGGAAGACATTTTTTCGGTTTAATTTGCTCTATGTCGAGCTTTTGGAGTTATATGCAATTATGACATAAGTATTTGATATATTACACGTATTGGGTGAGTTAGTCATTCAATTATTGTCGTGTAATTTTAGACTGTAATGCAATGGATCCGTAGGCATAAGAGTCGGTTTTATGGAGTACGTGAGGGATGAGATTCACAAATCATAACTTGGAAATAGGCATTGTGATTATTATGTAAATTCCAAGTGAACAAGTTCAACTTGAGAGTCCTTTTGTTTTATTGGAAATAGGCATTGTGATTATTATGTAAATTCCAAGTGAACGAGCTTATTACATCATTGGATTATATACTATATTTGTTTGATGTCATTGTGTATCTATCTTACTATAGATTGGAATTAGTTGATGTTATTATGCACTTTTCTATAAGCTTATTACCTTATTTGATTGTAAACTAGATTTGGTTGATGTCATAGTATGCTTATCAATAAGTAATACTCCTATAACATTGGTTTATGGCTTCTTATGTGTTTGTCATAACAAATGGTACATCGGGTCTCTCTCGTCATCTTCGGATGTTTTTATGCCCTTTCAAGGATAATCGTGCATTAATTGTTTATGAAACTTGATTAAAGCTTTATTTCCCGTTTTTAATATTTTATAACTTTATTCTTGGTCGCGTGAGTTTCGGTTTTGGTTGTATATAATTGGGTATTTTAGTTAATGAGTTTTCATCAAGAAAAATTGTGGGTTTTCGGAAAGATGTTGCTTTTATGATAAATAAATATTTCATTTGCAAAATTATGGTTTAAATCAGCAGTCTTTCAGTTTTACCGTTTTATGATTATGATAAAAACTGTTTGAACTCACAAGACGTTAATCCTAACATTCTTATATGCTGGCATGTGCATCAGGTCCTTGTTGTGGTATGATACTAGCAACATCATGATGAGATGAGTGATAAATAGTTGCACGAGAAGGTTTTAGTCTTTCGTCGATGTCTTCCGCATTTGGATGTAGCGATAGTTATTGGGATATAGTAACGCCCGACCTTAACTTAGTCCTTATGTAATGCTTTGTCTATCTTATGTTGATGATGATTTTAGACTTGATAATTCGAGGCAATTCAAGTATTGATTAATAGAAAAGGAATTTACCTCTTTTATTTGTTGTATTAGTGAAATTTTAAATTAGTTGCTCTTTCCAAATTTGAGGGTGTTACAGTTAGAATACTGCATCAAACTATTAACGAGCTGAAGACTCTCTTGTTCTTTCAAAACCACACAGAACCATAAAATAAATTTGAGGAGTACAAAGAATAATACGAAACATGAATTAAGATTAGAGATTTAAGAACATCTTCAATGGATTCTCTAAAATTTCTTTAAAATGAAGAATTAAAATTCAAAATTTATATTAAAAATAATTACATTCAACTCCAGTAAATTATTTATTTTGGAGATTACAACATTGATTATATTATTAAAATATTCTATATGTTTAATAAAATATTAATTTTCTATTCCAAACGTTTAATTTCAAAATTTCTTACTGATTGAAATATAATAAAATATTATCTCTCTTTCATAGTAACCGTTTTTTAAAGTTCTTCAAATCTGAAGAATTTAAGAAAATCTCCAACAGATATAAAATCAATTTTGGCAAATTTTTTTGGATAATCTATTAGAGCAGAAACTTTGTCCAAAATACTCAAATATCTTATATTCTTCATTTTAGAAAATCCGTTAAAGATGCTATATGTTATTAGTTTCAAAATCAAGATGTATCACATTGAATTTCACAGGTACATTTCCGATCTTAATGATATAAATTTATTTATTTATTACACATAATATTTATTTATAAAAAAAGTATTTAGAAACAAGTTCGTAGGTCATCTAACCTGGCCCCGGCCCAAGCCCAAGCCCAAGCCCCAGCCATATTAGATTACATGTTTTCAAATGAAATGATTTTCACCATCCGTTTTCCACCAGATACTTGTTCTCTAAAATTTTGAAAAATAGAAAAGAAAAAGAGAAAGTACCACTTCTATAAGAACGATCAATTCCAAAATTTCCAAGGCAAAAACGGAGTTTCCCTCTTCATCTCTCTCAGTTTGCAGTTCGCATTCAATTCCAAAATGCTAGCATTCAAGTGAATCTCTAGTCCTCTTTGTTGATATGAGCTACTGAATCTGGAAGTACGTTTCCGTTGTCGTATTGTAAGTGATTAGCTGACGTTTTTGCTTACGTTATGTGCCCCAGATCCGAAGAACAAAGCCAATTGCAGCTCGTGGAACGTGAAGAGATTGACGACGATGAAGATCTATTTGAAGCCATTGATAAGCGTAATTACGTACTTATAAAATTTCTATTTCAGTTTTCTGGAATTCTCTTTGTTTTCTAGAGTTCCACTATAATTCTGGCTATTATTCATTATGTTGTTGTTTGTTACCCGAACAAGGACTTCCTCTGTATAGAATTTATTTCTCTATCAAATATCACAATCGTTTCAAATTTGATCAAATTTACTGAACCGAACTCGTACTAATTCGATTTGATTGTCTCAAGTGAATCAAAATCGGTGTGTCTGTGAGTGTGTGTAAATGATGCATGGTCAGAGCATCGTTTCAAATGTTTAAATGTCGATCCAGTTTTAACTTTGCATGATTGATTCTTAGTGAAGTCTGCACACTTACTTTCCTTTCCATTGCTTCATGGATAGAGAGCTAGAATTAGGCTGAAAATTTGGTTTGAAGTGTGAAATGATATGGTATATATGTCTATTCAGTGACTTCTCATGGAATAAATGCCGGAGATGTCAAGAAGCTCCAAGACGCAGGAATATATACATGCAATGGTTTGATGATGCACACGAAGAAGGTGACTAAATCTGCACTCGCTTGGATTATCATTGACCAGTAATAGGTAATTTTTGGCTCTAAGTCATTTTATATTACAGAGCTTGACTGGTATAAAAGGTCTATCTGAGGCTAAAGTTGATAAAATATGTGAAGCTGCCGAGAAGATAGTGGTGAGTGATTTGTTTATATATTATAAGTTTCAATTTATTAGATCTTATTCTTATACCGTGCAAGTGTTTTCGGCACCTTTTCTTATTCAGAATTTTGGCTATATTACTGGAAGTGATGCTCTGCTTAGGGTAAGATACTCGTTTGTTTAATTTCTATCTGCAAATGCTCATAATGTTTTGTGTTGACTTTCTAAATACCTGAGTTTATCTTATAAATTGCATAATATCCCGTCATCCTTTGTTAAACAGAGGAAGGCTGTTGTCCGGATCACTACTGGAAGTCAAGCTCTTGATGAACTGTTAGGAGGTGGAGACTTGAGTTCTGATGTCTTCTATATTAACTAACTCGATTTTGTTTTGTTCATGGAAATATAGATGTAATGACATTAACTATTTTTTATAAACTTGGGAAAAGGTGGTATTGAAACTCTACAAATTACAGAAGCTTTTGGGGAGTTCAGGTGAGATCGAACATATTCTAATATGGAATTTGTATGAATATTCATGATCTGTCCTTAAATGCCCTCATCAATGCTATGATCCAGGTCTGGAAAGACACAGCTGGCACATACTCTCTGCGTTTCTACACAGGTTCTCCTTTGTAATGGAAACTTAAATTGTGATCATGAGGTTACTTAAGTTGTAATAATATGGGTTTGTTAGACTTCAACGTCACAAATGATGGAATAGGCATGTTACTGCTTGTGGCTTTCTCCTTTGCAATGGAAACTGTTCGACTCATAAGTTCACTTAAAAACCTTTATTACATTTATACCTTCACGTTAGTTCAAGGGCCATCATTGACAATAGAATGCTGTTGAACCATTATCTCTTAATTCTTTTATCATTTAGAACCTTTTGTGGCTAGTACTTAATGAATTCTCTCTACTTGTTTGGTGCTTGACTAATCCTGGCCTTATCCGTGCAGCTTCCTACTAACATGAAAGGGGGAAATGGAAAGGTTGCTTATATAGATACAGAGGGAACTTTGTATCCTTGTTGGTCCTTGGTTCCTCCTATTTCAATCCAGTTGTTTTTTTTTTACCTTTGTTACTTTTACTTCATGAAGGGCCCCTGAGAGAAATACTATCCCCACTGCTTGTCATTTCTTAATAAAATGCCCTTGCAGCCGACCTGATCGTATTGTACCCATTGCTGAAAGGTTTGGAATGGATGCTGGAGCTGTACTCGATAATGTAATGATGTTTCTTCCTCAATTTATATTGCTATTTTGCATGCTAACTGGTTGCTTCTCTCCCACATAAATTGAAGATAATATATGCACGTGCATACACATACGAGCATCAATATAACCTGCTCCTTGGGTTAGCAGCAAAGATGTCCGAAGAACCTTTCAGACTTCTGGTGGGTCTTTCTTGAGCTTGATATTCCTAACAAATCAAATATGTACCTTTTTCTGAATAATTGACTAATCTGAAATTAATTATTTCCCAGATTGTTGATTCGGTCATTGCTCTATTCCGAGTAGACTTCACAGGAAGAGGAGAACTTGCAGAACGCCAGGTTCAACTTCCCATCTCATTTTCGAAAAGTTTTCACAAACTTGATCCTTATGCTGTTATGCCTATATCTATGTTCAAAACTAACATCATTCATGCATATGCCCTCTTTTACAGCAAAAGCTGGCTCAGATGCTCTCGCGATTAACAAAGATTGCAGAGGAATTCAACGTAGCAGTGTACATGACAAACCAAGGTTCTACCCCACTAATAAATTTGGAAACGATCTGGCCTTACACTAAACATTATATTTTATTCCATTAATGGCAAAAATCTTAGATGGTCAATTTGCATATGTACGTTGCAGTGATAGCTGATCCAGGTGGAGGGGTATTCATATCAGATCCAAAGAAACCAGCAGGGGGGCATGTTCTTGCTCATGCAGCCACAGTGAGATTGATGTTTAGAAAGGGCAAGGGCGAACAGCGTGTCTGCAAAGTGTTTGACGCACCAAATCTCCCAGAGTCTGAAGCAATATCCTTACACACCATTTTATGTGCACATATTACTAACCCGTTTATGATCACATCCGTATGTTCTCCTTGACAAAAAATCACATATTTCAGATAACACCAGGAGGAATTGCAGATGCAAAAGACTGAATTCTCTGCAATAATACGGACATATGGTACATGCCTTGGCATGAAACATGTTTATATTTTTCCTTTCAGCTGTCTACTATATACATATTATAGTTTGAATATTCAGCTTTGCTAGAACAAGCAGTAGGTGTAGGTTGTAAAACCATAAAATTGCTAAGGCAATTTCAAGAAAACCCAACCTTTTATCCTGCAAATTAGTAAAGTGTTCTCATTTCAATCTGAAAGTCGTGTTATTACCCTACCTTTCTGCCAGTTTTATTCTTTCTTCTCACAAGAACATACAATTATTTGAACTGATGAAATATAAGTCACTAACAGCAGAAGCTAGTGTCATACTCCATTCCATCTTAAACAAAATAGATGTTGCATACATATGGTTATTTCATGTATATTCTCTCAGTGCCCTAGAGAATGGGTCTCACGGTAGGGAAGAAGCCAACAGAACATGATTGTGCTTATGGGTACGTACAAGACATAAGATGGCAATAAGGTGAGTTTGACTTCAGTAGTGTTGGGACCAGTTAGCAGCACTCCCAACTCTGGGCATTCCAGATTCTTTCTTGGAATCAGAGTCAACCTTGAAATTTGCACCACACACCTCTCCTGAACTGTCTACTCTAGGCACCGGCTTCAGTTCATTGAAAGGATGCTCAAAGCTTCTTAATCCTCCAGATGATGTGAAGAAACACCCTGCATGATAAGACACAATGACATAATATTAACCAGATTATAGATATAGAACATCATGTAACTACTATTTGTGGTCAAATCCAAATTCAGGAGTCACAAATATAGAAAATCCTGTAAACGGAATGCCCCTTTTGGTACACAGACAATGTACAGTTTATGCATCTAAAAGTGCAAGGAAGTGAAATTTGAAGCACCAAGAAGACCACTCAGACCAAATGAAATGATAGAATCACAAAATATGTACCTTTGGGGAATGGAGCAAAGGATTTCCCACAGCCTTTCTTTACGGTATCAACATCATCAGAGAGCACCAGATGTCCTTCTGAATCAGTTCCCCAAAAAAACGGCACGCTGCCATCAGCATCCTGTATTGCAAAGATGGCAATTGTAAGATGCTGGTGAATATAACAAGTTGTTCCGTCAAGTTAGTTAGCTACTCACAGCAGCTATGAAAGTGGACTTTGAAGTGCTGTCATAGAGAATGAAAGCGAATTTTCCTTGAAGATCTCTCACAACTTGATCTGCAGGGTATGGACCTCTATCCCTCAGTGTTCTATATGCCTCAATTACAATTATCACTTCATTTGCAGTCTTGTTCAATCCGTACTGTTGCTTCAGGGGAGCAACGTTCTCTACGTGACCTTGGAACAAGCAGAATATGTCGTCCACAACAGCAAACAATCTACCACCACAAGAGAAACATTCATAAATACTACTTACATGAGAGATTCTTCAACCAATCATCGCTCATTACCGTTACTTATATATATATATATATATATATATATATATATATATTACAAAACATTTCTTAAAAACTATTAAAATCCAAGTTTACAACTTATTGCTGACATACATACAACTTAAAGCTGCAAGATTGAACTCTAAAACTAATCGGCATACCTGAAACACAAAACTCCATGTTTGATATTCTATAAACTAAGGGTCATTTATCAAAAGCAGATCGGTGTAAGCTCTTACAGAGTGATCATGACAAGAACTGATGATCTTACTGAGTTGGTGATTCTTACCGACATTACTATGCCATTTTCGTCATACCTGGTAACGTGAGCGAGGGTTGGTGACTTTGACCCTCAAAATAAGCATCAAGCACTGCTAAATACCTAATAAAACCCTCTTTCGCCAATCAACCAATACATATCTCATACAAAACCATCGAAATAAAAACTAGAGATATTGAGGTTCAGGACCGAGATGTATAGTGATGGTGGGTACACAAGTAGTGAGTTAATAGATAGATTAGATAATAAGAGACCAATAAACTAAAAAAAGGAAGGAATTTGTTATTCAGGTTGAAGCTTTATAGAGAGAGGAGATCCAGAAATTCTCAAAATGCATAGATGTATGGTACATGACTTATTTTGACTTAGATAATAAATAGGGTTTATAGCTAAAATAAATGAGATCCAGATACCTTGGGAGCAGAGGGTTTTGTTTGTCGATGGAGTAAGAGATGAGGCCAGAATCAGCGAGATTGATGGCGACAGCGGAAGGATGCAGGGAGGCAAAGTGGTGCGATAGAAGGCCATCTTTGAGTGCATTCACCGACGGATCTTGCTGTGGGGTTTGTAGACCCTCTGGGCTCTTGGCTACTGTTTTCTTGAACACTGCCAACATCTTCGATCAATCCAAAATCACAACTGAAGCAACTCGTGTGATCTGATTCTCTTATGTATATGATATGATGAAATGAGAGAGGTAATAAAGATATTGGATTGGATGATGGATGTATACACGTCTTTCTGACAAGCTATCAATTTAATATTAAAATACGTATATTAAACTGCAAACTTGCATTCACCAACGGAGTTGATGCAGGTGTCCAGGTTCGTTGTATTTATACTTATATTTTATTTTTATTTTTTAATTTTGTAAAATTTATATTCACAGCAAACATTTTAAAAAAGATTCTTCCAAATGATACCAAGTCGCGACTCAACATATTCTCGAAAATAAAAAGAGAATACAAATCTTGAAATTTAATAGCTTTTTATAACTATAGTTTAAAAGAGTTTTTTTTAAACTACCAATTAAATGCTGAAATTTTGTTCCCTACAGAATTTTTTTGTTAAATACTTAATAATGCAAACTATTTACATTTCTAGCTTTTAATTGAAAGTCGAAGTTTGAATTTTCCAAAATAAAGAAACTTTTGAAGTAACAAGTAATTTCATTTGAAGGAAATATTGTTAAAAATGTTGTAATAATAAGTTGATACCGGAATTATATTGAAAAGCTTCGTTCATTCATTTTAAACTAATTTTTTTCGACAACTTTGTTTTTTTTTTTTGTTTATTTAAATAAAAAAGACAAGAGAAGACATTAATTTTCTTCCATGTGCATACATCCCGGAAGAAACAAAACAAAGTAGCAAACTCCATGGTCTAAGGGGAATTGGGTTTTTTCGCATACATTGTTCTATCTAGGTGATTTTTGGAAGATATATGGTTTTAGGATGATTGTTGATATGTATATCGTTGGATGCACATTCGGATGAGATGTATTGAGATACAACGAATCAATTTCTGTATTAAACCCGATTCATGGGTGAGTTTGAGATTAAAGGGGATCATGGGTACATGTCTCTTATTACGTCTCATTTAAACTCTCTTTATCACACGATATCTATACTACCTTATAAACTAGATTTAAGAAAAGTCTTAAAACGATCTTAAATGCATAAGGCACTACCTTTTAATGCACAAAGTCTTAAAGTCTTAAAAACAACTTCTGATGCATTATGTATCGTTGATCTATGCATAAAATCTTAGAATCTCTTAAGTACAACCTTATAAACATGATGTATAATTGATAAATGCTAAACTTAGTTTGTCTTCCCAAGATCGACTCCTCGTGTAAAGCGACCCCAGGGACGATTCATCAGAATCCAACATCCCCATACGACGATTCAGTCTGATCATTCTCCAATGTATCATACAATTAGGGTCCTCTACAATATTCAATTTTGCTTTATCTTCATCTCTGATCATCTATTGTTTTATCCGAGGTAAAGGGTTAATCGATTTCAAACAATCAATTTTGATGTTCTTCTTTATTCTGATCATCTCTCCAGGTTTGATTACTTCATCGCTTTTCAGGTTTGATTTCCTTCATCTCTGCTTGGGTTTCGATGATTATTCTCTTCTCGATCTTTCTCTTTCTCTGCTCTAAGTTTTTTTTTTTATAATCGATTGTTTGTATAATGCTTAATGTACCTATTCACCCCATTTTTTAAGTCATTAAACCTAAAGAATATTCAGAAGCTTTACAAGACAGGTTTAGTTATGCCAAGCATCGTTTCAACACAACAACATAGATAGAGAACCGATTAGATTATTGTTCTTGATTTTTTCCATCGTAAGATCTCCATCTTTCCCAATGATTTTACTGTTTTCAGTTCTCACTCTCCTTCTCAATTGTTTCCCTCAGCCCGTTGTTTGTGTCACGGTTCCATTCGAATCTCTTTTAACCAAAGATTGTTTTGTTTGTGCATAAGAGGATCTGGAGTATGTGGAAAGTTGAATTTGTGGTTGAACCATACGGGGTTTGCCCGGAATGGTGCATCAAGGTGTGTACATTCACTTTGGGAAACTTTGATCCAAAAAGTATCATATCACATTTTAGAACATCCAGAATTTTGTATTGTGCTTCCTTAGAAACACCTTCTAATTATAACTGGATATTGGGATTCTTATTAGGTAATAAGCTAGGTTAACTCGTAGTTCTTACTCTTACGTTTGCTAATACTATGTGTTTACTTGTTTTGAAGTTTCAATACAAGTGATCGAATATTGATGCCACTAGATAACCTAGAAGATCTTTTGAAATCCTTAATAGATGTGAGAAAATATACATTTTGAATGTAAATGATAGTTTAATGATCTACAACCTATTTTATTAATTGATTGAGCTTTATTTTGTTAGTAGCCACTCAAGTACCAGTTATCTCCCACAACTATCACTATATGATGAAACCCCCTTGGGATCTATTGAAGGAAAATCCAAATGTGAATCGCCAAATCCTACATTCTACCGACAATTTCAACTGACAATGGACAAATGAAGAAGGTGGGTTAAATTTTAATGGTTATTTGAATGATTTTTGCTCCTTTTTCGATGTACTGCGTTCATGAGTTCAATTTGTTCTTCAAGTTCATGCATAAGCACATTGCCAACAATTAATTTTCTTCCTTGCTTTTAATGTTAAAAGGATGCTAATCTGACTGTTGAACCAATATGGAGTCACGAAATAGGCTGTGATGTCGGGGAAAAGGACTAAAAGAGCCAGGGTGTCATGAGCGATGGTGTTAACCATTTGTGGCCCGACATCAAGGTTTTGTTTATGTCATTCATTCCAATTATTTATTCTTCTATAATTTGCTCTGATTTAGTGAATTAGAAAGAGAGATTTTGATATTTAGATTTGACGCTGAAATTTGCTTCTTCGTGACGTAAACCATTAATTTGACTTAGCTTGTTGGTTTTTGTTTGTGTAATTCGGGGTTTATTTGGCAATTACTACCTCCGTCCCCGATCGTATGAGGTTTTCCTTGCATAGTTGTTATTATTTGGGACTGAATTAGGAGCTTATGAATTGGTTGTTGTAGCTAATTATGCTTAGATCTCATGAATCTAAGTTTGGATTTGGTTGTGATGAATTTCAAATGCTTTTTGTTTTAATGATAGAATTGACCAAATTCAGTGCTAGAAAATGATGGGATTTTATAGGAACTTTGTTTTTAGTCTTGATGTTCATATGTTATTGCTTATAATATTTGTATGTGATTGTATTCGACCTTTTAAGTCAAATTTCAGCTCTCAAAATAACGATTTACTTGTAAAAGTCCCAAAAGAAAATGTTGGAAAAATTGTACATTTTTGCCCTAAATTTTACAAGATTGCTTATTTTAGAGCAGCTCTAAAAAAGATTTGGTCTTTTTTATATAGGTGAAACCCTTTTATTCTTTACATCTTTTAAATAACTGGTCTTTGGGTTAATCTCTATGTGCTCACTGCTTTGTTTTAGAAAATATGAAGCTAAATTACCATTTCCCCTTGATCATTGTTACAAATGGCTTATTCTATTTTTGAGTTTTGCCTTGACGGTATAGAAAGGTATTTTAGACATTTGAAAAATACACAAACACACCAAGTCAAATGTTGCAAGTTCCTTGTAATATTGTGCTTAATCATAGATTTCTTGTATACGATTTTTCTTTGTTGTAGCCAATACTGGATCTTGCCATACTTGTATGGTACATTTACATGGACTAACATATATAGATGCAGCTTGATAATATCATTTCCTCTGTCATGGTGCAATATTTGAGCAAAGTAGACCGGATCCATTTATATAACAACTAAATTCAGGAGTTATAGATGTCACAGATGGTCATGATTTACCAGTAATCAAGGTGTGTATCAAGAGTTTGCATACCATCGAAATATTGAGGTTAATCTTTATATATGCTCCATTATAAAGTATAGGTGTCATTTTTCTCAATTTTAAGAGGTACAACTTGATTATCTTGATTCACATGCTTCATTATTTGTAGTTGCATTCCACTTCCCCTCCATCCACCATCCTTCAAAATTGCCTACAACCCACAAAATGCGTGTCTATCTGCCATTTAAAATGTCATGCCACCAACTATTGTTATCGGCTATTGACATCTTCCATTCCACACTTCGGGATGTCATGATGGTTGTGAGAGCAGATGAGTTCCATCATCTTGAAGCTATTCACTTTGCTTCGATAGTGGTTCCATTTGAACAAACTTCTTTGTGTGACCTAAGTGTTGTTATTGGTTCTTTATTTTGCAGAATAGAGATCGATATGGATTTATGGATACCAGAGCTTCAAGGGGTAATCATTCTCACTTTTAGTTGTTTCTCATAACATTGATTTTAGTATTTGAGTAGTTAAGAAATATTTGTTTTCAGCCTTATACGAAATCGATTGCTTATGTAGGTTTTTGATCTCCTGGTTTACTTTCCCTCAAAAGTGTTTTTCCTTCTACTTTATGATCATTTATGCTTCTTTATTATTTTGTCTTCTACATGTTTGATAATATATCTCAGAGAAATTCCTCTATGAAGGATTTATGTTTGTTTGATGCATTGCATAACATGTGCTTGCAAGTTGAAACGATTTCTCATGATACACTATATTGTAATTATCTTGTTGAAAAACATATAATGTTTACGTAAATTACTTTCAACATAAATAAACATGTTTAATATGATGTATCTATACTATATTATAAAGCATTTGACAAAAATTCTTAAAAACCACTTTTTATGCGTAAAGTACTGCTTATTAATGCATATTACTTAAAACTCAAGATTGCAAGTTGATTGTGCATAAGTACAACTTATTAAAGCTCCATATTTGAATTCGTGTAACTAACTGCGGATAAACATAATCAAATACAAGATAAACATCTCATTTTAAATATAAAAAATCTAAA